AAGGACCAGGGCCTCACTGGGCCCTCACTGCCTCCAGGAACAGCTGCCCGCCAGCGGCATGGCTATCGCTACAGCCCGCTGCCTGACCTTCTGTGTGAGAAAGGCAGGTTTGGCCAGAAGACTGGAAAAGGCTGGTATGAGTACGAGAAGGCTGGGGGTAGGACAGCCAAACCAGACCCGTGGATTCACAGCTTTCTGTCTGAGTACAGGGACACCCATCAAATCAAGACCCGCTTTATAGACCAGGAGGAAATCCTGGAGCGTTGCTTGTTTACTCTTATCAATGAAGGATTTAACATCCTGGCTGAGGGAATAGCGTCAGGCCCAGAACACCTTGATGTCGTTTATCTCAATGGTTATGGCTGGCCAAAGCACAGGGGCGGCCCCATGTTCTACGCTTCCACTGTTGGGCTCCCTAACATTCTGTCTAAGCTGCAGAAATACTCTGAGGTCCACCCTGATGTTCCCCAGCTACGTCCCAGTGCCTTTCTGAAAAAGTTGGTGGCTGTGGGGAACCCTCCTCTCAATGACTGGATGTCCTATCTAAACAGGCAGAGCAACAAGCTGTGATTTCACTGATACCTGCTATAGAAATTCCTTGGAAGCTGATCTCATGAAACAGCTGCTGTAATTGCACTAACTTTTCCAATCAAGAACAAAGTGCTACAGGCTTATAAACAATGTCAGTTACCTTCCTAGGTGAGATTGATCTCTGTCCCACCTTGCTGCAGGCAGCCACTGCCATCACCCACCCTTCCCTCTTGCCACCTTCCTCACCCACCTTCTTTGCACATTGCTGCGTACAGATGCATTTCATTCTCCTCTGTACTTAGGTCTTCAGAGCAGTGCATCTCTCCCAGTCTTTCTTTGTTGAAGGGACAGAGCAGCACCTGGCCCTCAAAGCAAATCACTGTGGGAGGTGAGAGCAAGATGGTCACAATTCACCCAAGACCAGCTGGACCTTCCAGATCCTGGCCTAAGTCTGTTTTCCAGTTTGTTCAGACCTTCCTTCTCCCTGCAGTGCAATGTCCTGTACCGCAGATTACTTGGCAATCCCAAATGCAGCCAGTTGGAGCCTGCTCCCTTTACACCGCTAGGGAAGAGTTGGCACATTTCAGAGGTAAATGCAAAGGATTTGGTGAATGCAACTTTGAAGAGAGAGCAAGGGGCAGGGCTGGTACTGTCACCTGCTCCCTGCTGCAGAAGAAAATTCTAATAAGTGACACAAAAGCCACACATGCATCAACCTGACTAACCTGCGCTGTGCTGTTGGCTCATGACTGGCATTCTGCATCCAGACTCCATCCTCCTTTATCATCCACCTGGCTTTGTCCAGGCAGAAACATCTTCTGGCATATCTAAGAGTGGGATTTGCACTGCTATCGCTCCCCCTGTTTGCCTGCCTGTGGCTACCTAATTGATCTAATTGACCAGACTGAAACCTGGCCTGGCACTTACCAGGTCTTCCCTTGCACAGAGGGCATGCTGAGAGAGCAGGGCTGGAGAGCCCGGCAAGCAGACTTCCAGCAGAGAGCAGAGCAGGAGGAGTAAGCCAGACCTCTTCCGTGCTTTGGGCAAAGTCATCTATTGCTCGTGTCTAATGAATTTATCTTCTAGGTTGGTGTCCTCAGCAAGATTAATATTGAATGTCTAATTGTTGCTTTCTATTTTAATAAAACCATTTTGATTATCTAATGACAGATTATTGGGTAGCAAACAGGATAGCAGAAGATGGAAAATGTATTTGTTCTTCATACCTCCATAGCTTCTTTATGTGGCAGAACTCAATACACTTTCTGTTTATGAAGGAGTTCATGTTGGAAGTGGATGCACGCTTCTGTTTTCTAAACTTAGCTTCTTTTTTTCACTTCTGCCCTTCTGTGGATGAGAGTGCAGAACTGGGGTCATGAAAACCTCCAAAAGCCAGAACCTATTTCCTTGTTCAAGGGAGGATTTGCTTCCAGGACCAGCAAAACTGCTGCAGTTCTTCCCCCATCACTTGCATGTCACAGCTGAGTGCAAACCAGCATTTGCTCAGAGGTGAAGCGCCGCTTCCCCACGCGAGCGGGGCTCCGCGTGACGTGTTACACAACAGCACTGCTGCTGCTGGCGGCTGTCACGGCACTCAGCAGGACTGCTCTGGACATGCCATGCTGTGCCCTCTCCTGGGCCTCCTGCCATGGGGTTCACCCGTACCAGAGATGGGTTGGAGAGGGGCATGCAGAGGGAGTGGGGTGAGGAGGGGTGGGCATGTCCCTTGTCTGCCTGAGAGATGGATGGTAGTTTCTGGGTAACAAGCCCCGCTGACATCAAGTTTGTGGCCAAAAACGTCTCACCTACAGCCCATTTGTACATCTGACATGCCCAGCCCCCTTCTCATCTCCCCTCAAGGAAAGTACTGAGAACAGAGGCCGATCTCACTAATAATGACTCTACCAACAAGTTAATTTGTACATTCCTATTGACCAAAGCAGCGCAGCATTGATTGCCATGTTCCAGCCAGCAAAGTGAAACTGCCAGTGCTCTGGGTACAGCTGTGGCTCTGAGGGCAGGCACCAGGATCCTGCAGTCGGCAGGAGCACGTGGGAGTCCTGGGTCCTCTGCTGCTCCTCTGCAGGAGGGTGAGAGCATGGAGAGTCCAGAGGGAAGCACAGCCAGAGCGCCAGCACCACGGGCTGAGCTTCAACCCCTTGGGATGGGGTTCATTTTCCCTGCTGTCTTTTTAAACTACCTGACTATTTTCACTCAGTGAGAAAATACCTATTGAAAATGTTTTCCAGGTAAAACTGTTCTTGCTGATGAGTAGCAGTGAGTACAGGAGTGTCCCAGGCTCTGCTTGCTTGTCACACATCTGACCCAGATCAGCGTGAGCTGAGACTGCAGGTATCCAGCACTGATACCCACACTGTGAGCCAGCTCTAATCCATCCCTCACCTTTGGGCTCTCCTTCATGTGATTGCTGGCTGCAGATCCCACACTTATTGCACAGCACTGTTGAGGATATTCTGTCTCAGCCCTCCAAGTACTCCATTCTCTCACATGCAGCTGGAGAATTGTTAGATGTCTTTAATTAAGCCAGTGAACTCTACCAGTACAGCAGATGCCTCCATTAACTGTTCAGCCACAGGCATTTTGCAAAACAGTAAAGAATGGGAGTGCAAAAAAGGAGAGAATTGCTTTAGCTTTGATCAGCATCCCCTGCAGCACAGGGTCTTCAAAGGGAGGCAGAGAGCTCCCTGCCCTATGGCATGCACAGCAGCATGTGTTCAAAATGAACGGGGCACTCCAGCCTTGCCAGACACACTCTCATTTCTGGATCACATAGTTCACCTTCTCTGGTTGCATTTCTTTCTAACGGAAAACAGTCTTGCAGGCCAAGCTGGGTGTGAGAGCAGCTCTGGAGCTGAGATGAGAAGGCTTGGTGCCAGCAGCAGCGCAGGCAGTTCTTGCAGCCTGGGTCTCATGGGAGCTGAGTTGCATTTCCTGTTTGCTGCTGGCAAGCTCCAGGGAACAGGAATTTTTAGGATGTTCTTTATAAACCAGCAGGACAGTGTCAAAGAAATACCTGATTCTGCAGTCAGTTTTTCTTCTGTTTGCAAACAGCTGTGCAATTTCCTGAATGTTCACTGAATTCAGTGAGATTTTGGCAAAACAAAGGCTGCCAAGCCTTGACAGGCCATTCAGACAGCTCAGTTTCCACTGCCATTAACCCTGGAGGCATTTAAATCCAACTGGCCCACACAGCCCCCTCAGAACCAATGACCCGCGCTTAGGAAGGCTCAGAGCAGCTGGGCACCCACCTCCTGCACAGTCAGGCTGAGTTTGATGCTGTGAACCTCCCTGCCACCCTCAGCCAGCTCCAGTTTGGCCCCAGCAATCGCAAACAGCTCTAAAGGGATGGCAGCAGAAACATTATGTGACTTGTTGGGAGCACAGCAGGGCAGGAGGAGAGGGCTGTGGTCAGCACTACCCATCAGGGGCCATCATCACAGCTGCTTCAAAGTCTCAGTGTCTCTGCTCTGCAGGTATGAGCCACGTTCCTGGTTTTCAACACAGCACGGGGAAGCGCAGCTCTGGGGCACCTCTGGGACCTACCCCAAGGACAGACCCCTGAGGAAGTGTGGGGTTATTTTGGAGAAAGCAGGTGAGTATTGTTTGATGAAGAGCTGGTGGGTATTGCACAAAGATGAGGGAAATGGGGGCTTCCTATTCTAGCAGAAGGCTGACTTCAGCTCTCCTCGGACAGACCAGAGGGGCAATAAAAGCACTATCTAATTTCCAGCTTGACAGGGAAGCCAGAGCACCACTGCTCTTATGAAGCCAAACAGCGCAGCCGCCAGCTTTAATTTCGATCTAAAGTTGTGCATGTTGGAAAATAACAATGCACTTCCACATTTGGTTATTAACCAAAATTATACCACAACCTCTCGTCCCACCGCTGTCACCCGGGAGCAGAGGCCGAGTCCCACCTCGCCACAACCCCCTCTCAAAGAGTTGCAGAGAGCGACGAGGTCTCCCCCGATCCTGCTTTTCTGCAGCCCGATCCACCCCAGCTCGCTCGGCCCGACCCTCCCCAGCTTCCTCGCCTTTCTCCGGACACGCTCCGGGGCCACCGCCGGTTGCGGTGCTGCGGTCGGGGCCGCTCGCAGCTCCCCACGTGCGGGCTGCCGGCACCGCAGCACCTCAGCGCGGCCGAGTCCCGCCATCCGCCGAGCCCCCGCCCCGCACGAGGACACCCGTGCCGCGCGCCGGACCGCCGCTCTCGGCCCTCGGGAGCGCCGGGCGGCGCCCAAAGGCTGCGCTCCGGAGCCGAGGCGGGGCGGGGCGGAGCCGTCGGGGCGGGCGGCCGGGCCTTGCCCGCGGCGCTGCCCCCCGCGGCGCTGGGCGGGCGGGCGGTCCCCGCTGCGGCTCGGCGCCTTTTCCTCCTCCTCCTCATCTCCTCCTCCTCCTCCTCCTCCTGGCCGCTGCGGCGCGGGGGCTGCGGGCGGAGCGGCGGCGCCATGAGCGGGGCGGCGGCGGCCAAGAGCGAGAAGCTGGACGAGGCTCAGGCGCTGGCCCGCAGCTGCGCGGGCAGACCCGACTTCCAGCCGTGCGACGGGCTCTCGCTCTGCGCCACGCACAGCCACGGCCGCTGCTTCCGCCTGCACTGGTGCTGCCACCTGGGATGGTGCCACTGTGAGTGAGCGAGCGCGCGGTCCCGGCGGTCCGGACGGTCGTAGGGGCTCAGCGCTGCGCGGCGGCCGCCGCCCCGTCCCGTCCCGTCCCGGGTGCCGCGGGCTGAGGGCTGCGGGGCGGAGCGGTGGGAGCCTCGCGGCGGGCGCTGCGGGTTCGGCTCCTGCAGCGGTGCGGGGCGCGGGGGGAGAGCCGCTCGCGGCTCTGGCGGCTGCCTCTGCACCGCGCTTCTTCCTCGTGAGGTCGTCCTTGGGGTGGGAGGATGAGATCCGCACGGCATCCTCCGTGAGTCTGCTGCTGTTTTGCAGGAATATGCGACTTGCGTGAGGTAGGGCGGGCTGCCGCTGCTCCGACATCCAGTGGCGGGCCAACTGTGTGGAAAAGCAGCCGGACAACTTTAATGTCTGTCCTCCAGATGTGTGTGATCATGGAGGCTGGGGCTGGCCGGGCACGGGGTGATGAATAATTAATCGCTGCTCCCCTCGAGGAGCGGCTCGGCCAGCAGCGTGGCTGCAGGAGGTGGGAAATGGGGCCCAGGGCTCGTAGCCGGGTCTGCAGTGCTTTGAGCCCAGCGAGCGGCTTTGGGGTGAAGCTCTGCAAGGGCTGGAGGTGCTGGAGGTGTCCCTTGGCTCCTGGCGTCCTGCTCTCCTTCTGTCAGCATCTCCCTTTGGAGCTGGAAACATGGATCCCAGATTTGGCTTAATGGGGAGAAGGGTCTGCCTAAAAGGATGCTTCTTATTTGGATGGGAGCTTCTCTTCTAATTCATTGCACGCTTTAGAATCTCACCCTAATTTAGGGCCCAGTTTGAAACAACTGTGTTTTCTGCCAGTGCTTTGATGTGAGCAGCACATGGTGACAACAGGCACTGTGGCGGGGTGACACGGTTACCTGTTGCACAGGGATGCCATGCCTTGGTAGTGACATTGCACCTGTGAGACAGTGGCCCTCAAGTTGTGACCCAGACGTGTTCTTCTTTTCCACAGTCTCTGTGGCTTTGGTTCTTGGTGCTTGTAAGCACTCCGGAGGATGGGATCTGATCTCAAAATGCTGTTCGCAAGCTGGAGATGCTGCCTGCTATCTGCTGGGGATGGTCCTGAGAAGGGAGAGCCAGGTGCAGAGCTGGAGCATGGAGGAGTGACAGTGCAGTGAGGGATCTGGGGATTAAGATGGATCACGGGCTCAATATGCGTCATCAGCAGGAGGCCTTTGTGGTAGAAAATCCAAAAACAGAACCCAAGCCTTCACTTCACTGGGGATGCATTAGCTGGAGCACTGCAAGCATGCAATTTAATTAGTCTCTCCAGCTCAGTAATGATGAAACCAGGCTGATGGGTTTAGTTTGGAGCCTTGCGCTGCCAGAAGGCTGCAGAAGTGGGGATGTTCTGTAGGAGGCCATGGTGATCAGTGCAGAAAAGGTTTACAGAAGCAAAGTAGTTGGGCTGTGAAAGAACCGAGCGAGGGAGGGGAGATGAGTTTTGTGAAGCCTAGAAAAGAAAGCTGTGCTCTTGGAAGATCACCAGCTGTCACTTACCTGTGGCAAGGAGAACTTCAGGTTTGGGTGTTAGAAAACATTGTTTAAGTAGGAAGAAAAATGAAGTGAGGGAGCAGAATAAAAAGGTGAGGAATCACGTCCATTGAAGGCCTTCAGGAGGGCTTAGACCGATGTGTCTCCTGAGCGACACAGAGCTGATTCCCTCCTGGGAGGACCTTTTGTTGAGATGCCACCCAACCCTTCATCTTCCTCCGGCAGCCATAAGAATTAAAAATAAACGTAACTTTTGTAAGAAGTACCAACTGTTTTCTTAATTTCTCTCTGTACGACTGAGGAAACTTTGAAATGCGTTTGTCCCACGGAACTGTAGTTTTCGATGAAAGAAGTCACATACCTCATTTTCCTGTTTAATTTGAGAGCTAGGAAGAAGAGTGCTGCCTTCTTGCTCCTTATTTCCTAATGCAAATTCCAGAGCCGAGCATCTCTTTGTATCTTGCTCTTGCAGATTGACTGGAGTTGGACTTAAAAGGGGTAAGAATGAGCGCTATAATGGAGAATTATATAGAGGTCAGAGATGCAATTAAGCAGTATCGGAAGTTATCTTCCATAAACACAGCGCTGTAATACTGCCTTAGGAATTCTCAGAGGGTTCTTGCAAGTGCTTTGCTGCGACTCTTAAGAGCTGCGTTGAGGTACAGGAAGCACTATGTCAATTAAAATGGCCCTTGAAGTGTTATTTTCCATTGGCGTCCAAGGTGCTGGAGAATGTCAGCTCCGTTAAAGTGCACTTACACTGAAAAATGACAAGAGCTCACCTCCGCCAGGATCAGTAGATTGTCTCCTCATGTGTATTCAGGATCACATCTGCTTACTTCAGTGACAGAAGCAATTTAGCACTGCAGGGCCACTTGGCTATGGAAGTAAGAATTGAGAAAGAGCCTAGTCTGAATTCCCCAAAGCCGATTGTGTTTGGCTCCGAAGCAAGCAGTTCTTTAAGCTTTCTCTTTACCTCTGATGTTTCTCTGCCCGTAAAATGGCCATGACAGCTGGTGAGTGAGATAACGGGCTGCTCCGTGCATCTGACCATCTCCAGGAACCCCAAGTGTTTTACCTGTATGACGCTTGGTTTGAGCCTGGCGGTTTATTTCAGGTCAGAATCAGCCTTACTCATACTCTGCCCCTTCAGCCCTTGCCAGGGTGACAGCCTCCTGTTCACTTGCTCTCCATCCCTGTTGTGGCATGCTGTTCTTTAGATGCAGGTTGAGAGGCTTGAGTCTCTCAGATCGACTTTTTCCAGTGTAAGAGCACACAATGAGGTGGGTGTGCAGCAAGGGGCTTTTCTGCCTTCCCTCGCCTTGGGATTTCCACTGCAGGTTTGTGCTGCTGCTGTTACTCTACACTGTGTGTTCAGTGCTACCTGCTTCTGTCAGGGGTCAGTTGTGTGGGGTTACATCTTCCCTGGCTGCTGTGCTTTGGCTGTGATTTCTTATTTCCCTTCCTAAAGGTTAACCTCACCGGAGAAAGCCTCACACTTGGTGTGAGTACAGCATTGGCTTCACTCCTGGGCAGTGCAAAAATAGGGAATTCTCTTGCAACCCTTGCAACTGTTCGTTTTTTATCTGAGTATTTTGCAGTGTGTTCAACAGCTCTCAGTACGCTGTGTTGCACTTGTCAACAGTACGTTGTGGGTAACGATTTCACAGTGCTCGCTGCTCAGCAGTTGTGTCAAGAGATAATAAATCACAGAAAGAGCAATGCAGATGAGCAGTCACTGTCTTGCCCGGGTTCAGCACCCAAAAAGCAGATCTTTAGTTTCCTACAACCTCGTGTTCATCTTACAGTGAAAAACTGATGCAGCAAATAAATGTTACACTCCGCTCCCCCTCACATGTTGCTGAGTGGTGTATGAGATGTGCAGGTGTGCCCTGGAATAGCTTCCTGCTCCCCGGTGTGCAGCACGTAACAGTGGCACTGTTAGCCCTCAGCTTAGCTCCTGACCTGCCGCTTTCTGCACGAGGTCGGGCAGCCTTGGCAAGAAACCCTGCTGCTCCTCAGCCAAAAGGAGAAAATGGGCTTCTGCAGTGTGTGACACGCCGAGAAGGGCATATGTTTCCTGTGTGGTTTTGGGAAGAAGGACCTGTCAGATCTTGGCACGTGTTCTGGGGACAAAGAATCGGAGCACGCTGACGTTTCCTGCCCGGCGGTGACAGGCAGGGGAGGGTTTCTCCTTGCTTTCAGAGCTGCATTGCTTCCTCAGTGCCTGCTGTGTGGGTGTCTGTATTCCCCAGGGCAGGACAAGCCAGCCGTGCCTTTGGGGCCGCATGGTCTCCTGCACTGCTTGGGCAGTGAGCGGTGCTTATCAGCCTCCCGCAGCTGCTGCCGTGGAGCAGAGCACATCAGTGCATTCACTGCACCTGGGTGTACTCCGAGCCCGTATTTGCTTCTTACATTCTTCGCTGCTTGAAATACCAGTGTTTCTATTTTACAGCATTTTTAGATAAAAACATTAGTTTTCTGTCTCACAAAACTGTTGACAGCTCTCTGTCAAGGCCAGCCTCAATTACAGCCCTCCACGGTGACAGCAGTGGCTCTGTGTGTCACACAGCATCTCCTACCTGTCCCCTGGCAGCATGCACATCTCGGCCCTGCATGTCAGGTGCTGGTATTCCCCTGCTCCATAGCAGTGTGAGCAGCAGGCACGCTGCTTTGTGCACCCAAGTCCTGTCTCTATGGTATCTCTCCCATGTCTGGAGTGCCAGAAGCTGTCAGCAGGGGCTCCAACAATCATTGGAGCCCATGTAATTGTTCAGACCCCAGCCCGCCCAGTCCACCAGTGAGAGCCATAAGCAGGGAATCAGCAAGGCAGCTTTTGTTTCCTGTAACAGAGCGCTGGTAAGCGAGCTGAAGTGTTTATTGAAGGTATTTAAGTGCACTGGGAGTTGAAAGAGAATTTGGGTCTGCCTGCCAGACAGCTTCTCTTGGTCTCTCCATGTTATGGAGGCAGCTGCAGACCTGGGTGCTCTGTAGAGTTGTGTCCATTGCAACTTCCAAAAGGGTTTTTGTTTTCATGGGTTTCCTTGGCAGTGGTTTTAATGGCCCTGAGACATTTTGCCACGTCCAAGAAGGAGCAAAGAGGCAATAGGATAACAGTGCCTGATGTATGTCAGCAGATACGAAGAGCACAGAAATGCTATTTGATAGAGCAAATTCTCAGCTACAAAAAAAATATTTTTCAGCACAATCACCACTGCATCCTGAGGATTGCTTTGTTGGATAAATGTGGAAAGGGAGCTGTAACTGCTTGTGTTTTAATTTATGAGACTGTGTTTGGGGTACTCAAAGAGCTCGTACTCTTGTCTTGGTGGAAATCCCTGAGTCGGGGTTGGAGTGGTTGGGCTAGAAACTCCGGGGCTGGGTGTTCTCTGCAAAATGCCTTGCTTTGGTGGGAGAACGATTGCAAATCCGAGAGGAAATAAGCATTTTTCTTTCGTGTTTGCTGAGAGAAGGATTTAAATGTTCATCCAGTTTAAGTCTGTGGATCTGGACAAAATGCTTGTGCGTGAGCAAGGCATTAGGCTGAGCACCAGGCTACGCTCGCCCAAAGGTGGATTTGTCAGCTGGTAATGGAAAACACTTTTAATGAGGATTTGGTGCCTGTGGCTGTGCAAGATCTTCTCTTCACCTGTATTTGAAAGACCTGTGATACTCTTGCTTCATTTCCCTAAGCTGTACACAACGAAGGAAAGAATGTCAGCTTAAAATACTCTGACGTGTAACTCTAGGGGTAAACAGCTACCTGCAGTTGCACGGGCTCACCTTGCTGGGCCTGAATTGCGTTGCTCTGGCTTTAGTTACAATCCCCAAGTCATGGTTTGGATAGACTGCTAATGCTGTGTCTCGGAAAGAGAACGCAGATGTGTAGATTTCATCAAGCCGTGTAGAAACACCAGTGCCTCTGAAAGAATCTGCTGCCATTCATTCTTTATTCCTTGCCCCAGTGCAGAGCTGTGCCTAGAGGCATGCCTGTTCCTTCCTTATTATTATTAACAAAACCACCTAGCAGGAACAGACCACAAGAAAAGCTTTGAATTTAAGTTACTTGCTCTGAGCGCATCTTGCAGGGCTAATTCTTCAGTGCCTCATACAGGACTGAATAGGAATCACTGCATTTCTTTCTCCAGAAGCCGTGGGAGAAAGGGGCCTTGTATCCCTGCACACTTTCCCCCAGGCAGGACCTCCTGCTTTGCCCTGCATGACAACGAAGCTGTGTTTCGTAATGCGTCCATCCCAGTGTGGTTCACAAAAAATGATGCTTGAGAGCCTCTGAGAGCTGTGGATAAATGACATCTCTCTGCTGTAAGTGTGCAAAGGGTTCAGTTGCTGCTTGCATGAAGCCTGCTGAGGACCAGCCTGAAACCAGGGGGCGGTGGCTGTTGTGCAGCGTAAGCAAGCACCTCAAAGGGGAAGGTTGATCATCACTGTGTCCCATCAGCTGGTGTGGCTGTGAACTCAGGGTGTTCCCAGCAGGGCTGGTGAGAAAAGCTGAGCCTCTGCTTGTGCTCTTGGGTCTTTGTTCCGGGAAAAGGCCGCACGCACTTTTTTCACTGCACAGTAACAGCTCAGAGACGAAATGTGTGTGGGTTGCAGTGTCCCTGCAAATGCATGGCTTCCTTCCTGAACTCTGCCAGTGAGGAAATCGATTTTCCTGCTCGATTCTGAAGCGTATTTACGTCAAGTGCCCAAATGCAAAAGTGTTACCATTCCTGTGCCTTCTGACTTTGCTCTCCTGGGTACTGATGGTTGTTTCACACGCCTTCACTGCAGCCCATGGTCATACCCTTCCATTGCCCTATTGCAAACTGAGTCATGAGGTTGTCACCTTCCTGCTTCACACCCTGCAGGTCTGACCGTGTGCCTGGGTTTGCTGGGAGCACTGAGGAGAGCTTCAGCAGCCTGGCATAGGGCCTCGGGTTCCCTGGCACAACACAAGCACGTTTTGTCACTGCTCACGTTGTTGGAACCAGCACAGAATGGACATCTTGAGGTGTTTTATGTAATGCCTCTCAGTTTACCTGAAGCTGCCTTGCACTTGTGAGTCACTTCAAGCTTTGTCGACGGAGTTCTGCACATTGGTAGGTCTATACCAGGAACTGTTGTTTCAGTGAAGGGCGAAAAAATGAAGTGCTTTACTCACAAACATTCTAAAATGTTCCAAATTGGTGGTTGTGGCAGCGTGGGCTCAGCTGTTGGTGGATGGCATAAGCCTGTAGTGATGTAAGGAGCTGATGGACAGGAGATTGGTTTCCATCTAGCCTCATTTTGTCTGTATATTTTTTATATGCTTCAGTGTGTTGTGGTTTTTATTCCATCACCTCTGTGATTATCTGTCCTTAAGATACAAAATGTGCTTTCATGAGGACTGATTGTTCCAATAAGCAATTTTTATATAGAGACTGATCACGGAATTTAGAAAGTGCAGTTGGTGCAGTTTAGAGATGTTTTTGCCAATAGTTTGGTATATTCACATAGTTGGAAGTCAGAGACCTACTGGGAAAGTGAAATCTGATTGCTTGGCAACTGCACCTTGTTTTTAATATACTCATACTTTAATTTAGGCAACGTAACAGTTGGAATTTATATATAACCTATGTTGTAAAACACTTTTAACAAGAGCTTACGTTTGTATTCCTGTTCTCACTGATGGCTGCAGAGCTTGAGAGCCCACATGTGTGCTGCCAGAGCTGCTGCTTTACCTGAGCACCTACACCCAACCCTGAAACATTTCCTTTCTATGCCCAGTCAGTGCAAACCCTGCTGTCTTCCCTCCTTCTGCTTCACACATCACACCTGCAGCCATTTCAGCTGCTTCATTCTTCTTGTTGTGTGGCACAGTGTGGATTTCAGTGCCTTTGCTGATACAGAGCTGTGTTTCTTGCAGCCTTCCCACAGTCCGCTGGCATGAAGCTGTTAGTAGTTGGGCAGACAAAAGAAGGCACCTTGTTCTCTGCTCCTCCTGCCCTGTGCCACCGGCCCTCAGCGTTCCCAGCTGGTGCTCGCTGTGGGATCTGCCTTTGGTGTGAAGCCCAGGGTGATGCTCTCATCCCTCCGCTAGCATTCCCTTACCATGCTGCAGCAGTGAGTGCTGAGCTTGCACCCACCCAGCTGCTCTGAGCCCTTCTGCAGCAGCACTGTGTTACACGGTGGCATTCCTCCTCCTCCTCCTCCTCCCCCCCCCTCTGGAGTCACTTGGGTTTTCATATTTTCTTGTAGAGCGTTGCTAGATCCCAGGCTCCTCTGAGGAGGGCTGACACCAACGCCTGCATGCAGCAGCTCTGAGTGGTGACCTGTTTGGGGTGTGTGCAGGAAGAGCAGCCCTTCAGATTCTCCAGAATGGGTTTTGTGGAGCTTTGTAACAGAAATACGAAGATGAGATTGAATGAAGTACGAGTGGAAACAGGTCTAGGTAAGCACTAGAAGAAACAACAGAACGAGGTTAAAGGATGGCCTATACTGGTGATGAGGACACTTTTCCCATCAATGAAAATGAAGAATGTGTTTGTCCGGCTCAGATCTGCAAGGCCTCAGCACAGATGATGTGTCAGCAGGAGACCCTGTAGCCTGACACCAGGAAGGTGGTGGCACCAGTGCCACACATCACATATGCCCTTGTTTCTCCTGTCAGCAGGCTGTAGCCATCGAGATGCAGCTGTTCCAAGCTGTGAAAGCAGCCCCCTGCCTCAGCCATCCGTTCCCTCCTATGGGCGCAGAGTCCTGCGTGGTCCTTTGGGGAGAACTTGCCCTTCAAGGACCACTGAGCTGCTCTGCTTGTTGAAGGATTCACAGGAAAACATTGCCATCTCATCGAGGCGCCCGTGGGAGCACCATCTGCAGACTGTGCTGTGCACCTGGAAGGCAGTAGCTTGTCTGCACTGCCTGTATTTCTCTGCAGCAGGAAATGCCTCCGTTCTTTGGAGGTAGCGTTTGAAGCTGAGCTGTGGTTATCCTGCTCTGTTACCATATCAGCACACCGTCTGCATGAAAATGATGGGATGCTGAATCTCGAGCAGATGGTGCACAGGGATGGTTTTGTAAAATAAACATGTAACGCTAAGCCATTTCTTGCTATTTTCTGTACTGAATTTAACAAATATCGAGCGGCAGTTGGGGGATAGAATTTCTCAGAGACGTGCAAAAAGAGGCTGCTCCTCTTTGCAGGGCAGCTTTGCAAAGGCTTGTTGGATGTTGGGTTCAGAGTTCAGATAGTGATGGCCGCTGCACAGCTGCCATCCTCATGGGGATATGGCTCCTTTAAGAGGGCTTACGGCTGCCTGAAACACTTCCAAATCCAGTGTTGCTATTTCTTTAAGTCTGGTAAATCCATGTAAGAAATGAAGGAGCAGCAGTGGTAGAAGGAAGCTCCAGGCTCTGTTTGCATTGAAGAGTTAACCTGCTATTGAGTGAAAGCGTGAAGAGAACCCTGAAACGCTCACAGCATGTAAAACCACGATCCTTTTTTTTTGTATTTAAAACAAATCAAGACAAAAGGGCATCAAAATACATATTACGAGGAAGAAAAAAAACCTTATTTTTCCCCTTTCTTGGATTTCTGTGAAAAGCTTACAGCTCGTCAAGTCAAGGGCTGTCACAGCTGTCTCTCACCATACAGCAATCAGAGGGAACACCTCTCCTTCATGCGAGAAGGGAATTGGCAACTGTACAGAATCACTGCTGGGGAGCCACTGTGAAGCAGCAGCGCTAGGCTGGTTCTTTTTTGTGCCTGGGTGAGGTTGGGAATGGGGCAGATCACACAGTGCTGTGCTGCAGGTGTAAGAAGAGGCTGCTTGCTCCTGGCGGTGCATCCTGCTGCCTGAGCTCCAGGGTTGGGGTCAGAGGAGTGCCTTTGCAGAGCTGGCCCCTATACTTTGTGATCCCCCACTGTACCTTCCATCTGGAAGCGTTGTGTGCTCTGCCTTCTCCCTATTAGAAATCTATCTGAACAATCTCTCTGCTTTCTCAGTTTGCTTGGAAAAAGTGCAGAGCAGAAGTATCACTTTTGTTCAAGCATTCCATACCTTTACATATGAGGATCTTTCAACGTTGACAAGCATTTTAGTTACGCTTCATTGCAGCCCCCAGTAGCACAGCTCAGCTCTGCTTGGGCTCGTACTGTAGATCTGGCAGTGCCTCACTGTCCTGAAATAATTTTCTCCTCTCCTGGTGGCTCGTTCCATGTCTCACACTCCCAGTGCACTCCTCTGTTCTGTGAGGTACAACCCACCAGCTGTTCATCTAATAGAAGGAAATGGAAACTGGGTTAGCAGTGTTTTTTCATGCGACATCTGTAAACATACTCTAGGTTCTCCCTTCCATTTGTTCTCATCTCTTTGAAAAAGCTATTAACTGTGCTCTAAGCAAAGTGTAATTTGGAACTATTACAGTCCTTGGTGAATGTTTATGGTGAGGCTGATCATGGTTTGCAGAGGTTTTTTTGTCCCAAGCTGTGCATGTAAGTAGACAGAGAAGGAAGGAGGGAGGCAGTCGGTGTCCCTGTGGCAGCTGCAGGGCTGGGAAGCAGTGTTTCATCCCAGTTCTCCATCTTTTGCTAAGAAAAAGGCCAGGATCTGAAAGGCTGATGATCTCCAGGGCTTTCCCCACATGCAGGGGTGTGAGCTCTCCTTGCACTAACATTGAAATCCTCCACTCCAATTTCTCCCTTGACACGTGCCTTTGGAACGCCTGCTTGCCCTTCACGCCTTCAGAGCTGTGTGGTATGCAACAAGAATCTCATACACTGATGTTCTTTGTAGCAGGGCTGACTTCTTTCCCACGTCAGCTGATGTCTTTGGCAAGGCCCAGCGTAGCACCAGCAGAGCCCTGTGTTGCAGAAGCAGGATTCCCTGCTGCCTTTGCAACCGAACATTGCTGGGACCATTATGAGAGTGTAGAGCCAAGCAGAATCATGCACACATCCAAGGCACTGAGATGTTTGTGATCAGAGTCCATTCTCCTCCAGCAGACCTCAGCCAGGTGCCGTAGTGCTCAGCCAGCTCCAAGGCATGGCAGCAGGTCCTGAGCTGCGCTGGTTAACCTGAGCCAGTTTTTCATTAGTTAAGTAATATACAGATGGCAGGTCCTCGTTAGCCCTGTGGGTTTTTGGAGAGTAGGTGAGCTGGCAGATTGAGGCAGGAAGGGGGAAATGTAGACATCTTTGCCCAGGCAGCTGCAAAAGAAAGCGCACGTATGAAAAAAGCTTGTGTGTACTGGTTAAAAGATGGTTAAAAACAAATGTTTGCTATGCTGTATGTACTGCTGACTTAGACACCTATGGTCCAGAACCACCTTTTGTCATCTTTCTGAACTGCAGTGCACCCATTGTTTATTAAGAAAAATCCTTAGAGGTGTCATTTTGAGAGGGTGACAGCGGTGGCTTTATGAGAAACCTCGCTGCTCAAAGGTGGATTTCCTTAATTTTTCTTTTTGCATGCCAGGCATGTTAGTGTCAGGGGGAAACAAGAACGCTGGGACAAAGAGAAGGGGGGAATAAAATATTTAAGCAGCACCTCTGCTTATTTCATGGTTAAGTTATTTTGCATTAGCCACAGAAATTACTGCTGCGTCTGTTCAGTGATGATGCATGCAGACTGCTCAATTAGCAAAAAATCAGAGGGAGATGACCTCATGGCTTACTTCTCAGGGCCCTTATTTATTTTTCACATGCAGGAGACACCATAATCCACCCTCCAACCAATGTACCACGTAGCTCTGGGAATTGGTGCTGCAAAGAGACTTTACGTATATAATTTTTATGGAAGCAGGCCTACTTTCTGGGGATAGAATGTTCCCCAAGTGGTATGGGTTTGCTTGAGCTTTATCCCTTGTAGCAGAGCCTTCAGCTCCACAGAGCCTGGGCTGGAGGTCAGCAAGCAGGGAAGGGAGCACTGCCCAGGACTTACCTCCTTGGCCATGCCTGGAGCGGTTGCTTCGCAGTTGACTGGGCTTTTGTGCCTTAATTCTCCAGTGGATTTGGTTTTTAGGCTTCCACAGCAGTTGAATAATTCAGAAATGGAGAAACAATCATTCTTTTCAGTTGGGCTGCTGTCACTGTGCAATTAGCATTGGGCCAGGAGGTGAAGTGTTTGTGCAGAGCAATGCAGCGTGAGCACGGAGCAGCAGAAAGCACAAGCAATGGCAGTGGCACAAGCTTGCAGTGGTGGCAAACAGGCATGCTGTGTGCCTGCCATGTGCTTCATTACAGTGGTCATTAACACATGGCCGTCACAGTTGATTGAGACTCACCATGAAAACAGTTCTGGCAGAGCCTGAAGTTCATGCACATCATGTTCTGCACTCAGGACCCAAACCAGGTGTTGCTTCCCCACAGCCCTGTGCTGTGTTGGTGGAACTGCAGCATTCACTCGATAGCAGGCAGTACAGCATTGAAGGCCTTCCCAAACTTCTCACTAAACTCTGATATTTAAGGGTTTTTTTGGACAGAACCCAACATGTTCAGCACAAGCTGTAATTTTCCTTCACCAAAATACCATCTTCCGTGTAGGCAGATGTAGCAAACGACCCAGGAAACAAGTTGTGATGCAGTGCCTGTCTGGCATCTGTATTTGTGCAAAACGATGTAATTTACAGGAGCAGCCATCAGCAGAGCTCAGTCCAGAGTTCTCCAACTGACTCAGTGGAAATAAATCTGCAATAAATTACATGCCACAGTACTAGAAGGAGTGTGTCAGAATAGGTGCTCAAAACATTATTCTGTGGATTTCTGCCAGCTGCTTAAAGTCAGCAAAAATGTTGCTGTTTATTTCAGGGGGAGTTTTATCAGCCCAAAATGCATCACAAAAGAAGGCGGGGACTGGGGAGAATTTGGATAATTCTCTGTTCAAAAGACGTCTCTGCCAATCATGCAAGCTGCAGTGGGTGGGCAGTCTTATTTTTAAGTTTCTGCATCAATTTTTCATAGCATCTTCATCACGGTTGATGCATTTCCGTCCATTATGTAGGGTAAGAAGTTATAAATGATGCTGTTACTGCAGCTTTGTCCGTGATTCAGCCTGACAGGTCCAGCTGTGAGCACCAGCACCCCTTGGAGAGCTAACTGAGCATCTTCAGAAAGCAGAAGTTTAATCTAAAATAAACAGACTTTGCCCTAAAATTAACTGAAACCTAAGAAATCTGTAACAGACCCCCCCCAAAAAATGCAGAAAGTCAGTTTGCATAGGAAATTTCCTTTTCCCTCTTGGGTGATTTCTGCCTTACCCTGGCAGTACTTGTCCTTGAAACCTGAGGAAGTGCTTGTAGCCAATGTAAGGTCACACAAATGGGCCTGAAATCCTCTGTCAGTAGGCTAGCCTCTGTTGGATTCTACCCTGAAATTAGTGCCAGCATGTCGGTTTTGAAACACGACGAATTGCCCCATGCTGCTGCAGCAACAGAACAAACTCTGCTCCCCGCTGCCAGCCTTCCCTTCCAGCCATCGCTTTGCCTTTGCTTATCAGTGTGGCTGCAAGCAGATCTGAAGTTTGAACATAGCCAGCGCCTCGTTTTCCATGCACGTGCGATCAGTTTGCTGTTCTGAAGCGGACAGACTATGGCTGTAAACAGGACCTTGGAATGGGAGCTGCTGTATTTAAGAGATGCCATTTTGTCAGAGAAAATCCTAACCAGCAGTGCTCCCATGACAAGCAGTAAGAGGGAAAACACTTGAGGTGCATATACATCCTGTATCTAACACAGCCAGGCAGCAAATTTCTTCCTCGTCTCATCTGACCATCTTCCTTAAAGGAAAAGAAAACCAAACAACCCACCCACCTAACTGTATTTGACCAACGGAAACCAGTTGATATTATTTTTGGGGGGGTTTCAGCTTTTGATGCTGTTTCCTCACAGTATCCTTCTGGACGAATTGCTAAGCAAACACAGAAAGTGATGTGCGAGTCATTGGCTCATGGGTCGATCCCAAAGCACTGTAATTAGTAGGGTTCCACCAGGCTGCAGGCTGATCACTAGCAGGGCTCCATTTTAGGGCCACCTCTCCTTAATGTTTCCATGAATGACTTGGATGGAGGGCTGCAAGTTGTTCTGAGCAAGTCTGCTGATGGTACTAAATGGAGAAGGGCTGTTGGCTCCATCAAGGGTGAAGGCCTTGCAGAGATCCAGACTTGGGCACCGCAGAACAAAAAAGGACATACAACCATTAGATGGTGTCTAGAGAAGATGCAAATATGGGGAGGGGTCTGCAAGGGAAGGGGTCTGAGGAGCACTGAGGCCCCTTGGGTTGCTGGGCCTGGAGCTGAGGAGAAGCATCACAGCGGCTACAGCTCCCAGGACAGCATGGAACTGGGTCAGGGGAGGGCCAGGTTAATGAGGAAGAGATTCTTCACTGAGAGGGTGGTTGGGCACTGGAAGTGGTTCTCAGTGCACTTGGTGGTCATGGCACCAAGCTGCCAGAGCTGAAGAAGCACCTGGACAGCACTCCCAGACACAGGGTCTGATTGTTGGGTGCTGCTGCGTGGAGCCAGGGGTTGGACTCCATCATCCTTGTGGGTCCCTTCCAACTCAGGCTATTCTGTGATTCTATGAAGTAAGGTCAGATGAATATTTGCTTTCTTTAACAGCTGTGCTGTGATCTACCACAACTTAAGTATCCTGCTTTTCCTCCTTTTCTACCCATGAAGAGGCAAAATCACTTCTGATTGTGTTCTTAGCAAGACCAGGCAAAATATTCACAGGTAGACCAATAGCCACATACAGAAAGAAACACTGAACTCACCCAGCTGCTGGAGGGGCTCTCTGGCAATACAGCACTCCTCCTCAGGAAGCAACCCAGCTCAACAAGAGATGCCTCCCTGTCCGTGGTTGGCCCTTATATGAGCCCAGGGGGTTCCACCCTGCATGCAGCCCTTCTGGTCACCTGAGGACCACAGGTGTACACAATTTGCCTTGATGGAGCACCCTTCACCAGGTGCTCCATCACCAGTTCAAGCCATGACCTGGCAGTTCCCCTACAGCTCTCCCAACATCCCCCAGCCCTTGCCAGCATGTGGCAGCTGTGTTAGGTAGAAAATTATAGTCTTGTATGTTTTTTCTTTGTTCCATTAAAATGTTTCCCAACACCTTCCTTGGACACCTCAAATAGAAGCTGGGAAATGCTTTTTCAGTGGTGTCTTACCATTGCTTGTCCATGGAAGGGTTGTGAAGCCTGTACAGAAGTGGCCCAGATATATCAATAAATACAGCACCGTGGTTTCAGACAAGGGAATATTGATCGCATCTAGGCTACATTCCAGCTTCTGTGAGCTGGGTTTTGTGGGACACCATTCCAGTTAGCAGCGTGCTAATCAGTTGATTGTGTTGCTTTGCAAGGCAGCAGCATGCTTAACACTTACTGATGTGCAGGAAGGCTTTCTGCAGACAGCACACCACGGGAAGCTGCAGGCGGCTGCTGTTAGCTGGGCTGTAGGGCAGAGTCATCCCAGAGCAGCTGTGCTGGGCAAGGATTGAAAAATGCAACAAAGCCCACATCCCTCAGCAACTGCCAGTGCAGAAATAGCTGTGCTGCTGCTCCAGAGTGCTGTGCAGGAGTAAGAGCTCTGCTCTGCCTGTGGTCAAAGTGCGCAGGCATTTGATGGTAGCACTACATTTCTCCAGGACACGGCAAGCTTAGGCTGGGGTTTGTTACTAGATGTCAAGTGGGGTGCGTGGCAGTGCGTTTCCTAACTGCCGTTCAGCCACACTCACATAGGAGGAATAAAACAGAGCATTTTTATTTTCACTGAGCTTTTCCAGCAGCTCCGACAATTATCATTCCAGCTCCTAGGAGAAAACTGCTTGATGAGGTATTCAAGTGAAGCTGGTCAGATCTGTTCACCAAATGTTTTCTTCCCATGCCCACTTCCTGCAGCATTCTCACTGCTTCCTGAGGCTGCCTGGTGGCTGTTCTCTCCTGCTGCACAACCAGGGTGTTTTTCCTTCTCAGTGTGCATGGTGCTCCTTCCCCTGGTCCTTCGCTCTGCATCTGCCAGCTTCACGTTGTGCCTCTCTCACGCTCCAGTGCTCCCCAGTGCTTTCCTTGGACAATGGAGGTTGGGAAGTCCCAGCTGGGGAGCGCAGCCTGTTTTCTTACAGGCTGTTTTCCTTGCAGTACACCAGGCACAGCAGGGGTGGAAGAGTCTTCTCCTGTGCTTGATGTTTCCCCTGGTGACGTACCAGGGCTTGGCAGGCAAAGCACAGCACATGTGTGGGCCCTGGCTCGTTGGGGCTGGCAAAGCAGATGAACACCCCAGAGGCTGTTCCAGCCAAGAGGAGGGATGTCTTAGCCCATCCCACGGCCAGTGCCATGCTGGCTGAGAATTTATTGCAGTCAGTGCCTGTGAAGGACACCCAAGCTGAGGAGAGGGGCAGTGAGCCCTTCTTCCTGTTTCTGATCTGAGCAGAAGCAATCATTGCTTTCATTTTCAGAAGGAATGGGCAATTTGAGGGAGAAAGGCTTCCTCTGAGCCTGGGCCAGAAAGACGTGTGGCAGAAAGCTGCAGCTCCTCAGCACAGCACAGCCAGATCCATTCCTGTGGTGCCTTTCTGCTCCTTACCTGGGGAGCTTCAAGCATCAAAACAGTCCTTCATCACTTTGATGCCTTTTCTGCCTTTGCAAAGAGGTATTTGCAGTATCCTAACTCCTGCATCAAAACACTTCTGAGTCCCACTACTCGCAAGTCTTCTGGAAATTTGTGCTTTCATAGTGAGTGAACCCCCTGGGGAGACATGAATTTTTCAGGGCCTTCATGCAAATAAAACACAGCGTTTTCCAGTCTTTGGCACAGCCTCAGGTTTCTCAGTTTTTCCTAACAAAGTACTGATTTTCTGCTCTCGCATTTATTTCTTCTAGTAGAGATTTTCAGCTGTGCTCTTCAGTTCACACTTGGTTCAGCTCCGCATAGACAACATAATCCTATTTTTCTTATTACTTAACTAGATAATCAAAGTGTCAAAGGCATTGCTATGGTATGGGGATCCCCTTATTTTCTGTCTTAAAATTCCAGTTGCAGTCGTGTTAATTCTGTTTTATAGTACAGAAAAATACAGCTTAGCCCTCAGAAAAAAAAAGAACATGGAACTGCACTCAGGGAGACTCGCTGTTAAGCAGAATAACAATAATAGAAATGCAGATCATTGTGCAAAAGATGTGTGGTAGAATTGCTCTGTATTTGGTGTTAGAAAAAGAAAAGCCGCTGAGCATCTTCAGGTTTCTTTCCCCGAGAAAGGGATGCAGACAGAACTGCTGCCTGCCCCACTTCTCAGCCATGCAGTTGCACCCCCAGCATCAATTTTCCAGCTCCAGATGTCCTACAGACGTCTTAGAAGCAAGGACAGGGAGAGAGGCGAGACTGGGCTGAGAGAAGTCACGGTTACCTGCAGTGTTAAGCATCAGAGAGCCTGTAAGAGGAGAGAGCTAACCAACACCTTGAGGCCATTGAAAACAGAGCAGCTGCTGGCTGAAGGAACTGCTGGCTATTACTGACTGCCAGAGGTGAGCATCATCTTACCAGTTTCTTTCTAACTTTAAAGATAAGTCCTTAAAATGCTGTTTTTTGTCTTCCCCGCAGGTAAATATGTCTACCAGCCCATGACGCCCGTGGAGCAGCTTCCCAGCACCGAAATACCCGTCCGCCCTCGGGAGTCTCCGAACACAATCCAGATCTCCGTCTCGCTCACCGAACACTTCCTCAAGTTCGCTCCCGTCTTCCAGCCCCCGCTGCCCCCCGACTCCCCGCAGTTCTGCACCATCGCAGACCTCTTCATTGACAATTACCGCGTGAAATGCATCAACGGGAAGATGTGCTATGTGCAGAGGCAGCCTCCCCCCGTGCCCCACAAGACAAAGCCCGAGGAAGTCTCTGTTCGCAATGCCTTAATCACAAAAGAGAGCAATACACCAAAAACAGATCACTGCTCGTCCCCTTCCAGCTCTGAGGACTCCGGGATCAATGCGGTGGGGGTTCACTACATGGAGTCGTGCGATGAGGACACGGAGGGGGTGGCCGAGCTGAGCTCAGAAGAAGACTACAGCCCAGATAGCAGCTGGGAACCAGATGAGTGCCCGCTCTTGTCACCCTCGCAGTGTGAAATGGAAGTGATTGAGACTATAGAAACCACCGTGTGATCCGACGAGTTGGTGTCAGATCAGTCCAGTTCCCACTCAGTAACGTTGCTTTTGTAGTCTTTATATTTTGTTTTTTTTCTGACAATCCCTTTTTTCCAGTGCACTTGATATTTCGGATTCCTCATGGGAGCGCGGCCACGGGACTTGCATATTGGTGAAACAGCAGCAGCCTGAGCAATTTTAACGTGTTCTCAGCCTGATCAGATCTCCCACGTCTGCACGTAAGGTAGTGATAAATCTTAAGACTTTTATAGCTGGAAAAAGGCCTTTTTCTTGGTCTGGGTTACATCATAACGCTACTTCTCATACGAGGATGTGCCACTCAGCATGTTTTCAGCACTCGGGATGTTTGCTGGGGGCCTTCAAAGCACAGAGGGTGAGCTGGTGCAGCACGCCTGTGAGCAGCAAAACCAAGTTGTCCTTATTTCTTACAAAGAACTATGCGAAGCGCAGCGACAAGAGGCTTTTTCTGTCTCTGGCCTTCCGCGTGGTCCATGCTTTTTTCTAGTGCTGGCGTGACCCTTCTCGAATGCTGTTGGTACCACTCTTCCAGTGGGTTGGTATGGCAGGCAAGAGAACGCACAAAGTGCCTCCAACTTCTCCAGGCTATGCACCGAGCATCTGCTGAGTTAGGTCCGGCTCTGAAATCTCCTGGGAGGGCAGCTGTTGCTCCTGAGGGTCATCCGTTGCCCGGGTCCAGCCGCTCCTTCCTCTGCATGGATCTTTGGAAGGGGATCTGGCTTTTGCAGCTCAGCAGGAGGGGGAGCAGGCAGGGAGGAAGCGCGGCAGTACCAATACCAATCTAGACTGGGGTGTAAAGCAAAGGCGAAGGGCAGTGACTACCTCCAAACATGCAAAACCCACCCCTAGCTTTGCCCGCTGCTTCCTCCCGCGCCGCGCTGGTTGTGCCCAGATACGTGCACTCAGGACCAAACGGCCTCAGGGCCCGCATTTGCCTGAAGAAAAACAAAGATTAAAAACAAAACATTTGAGCCACACCACTGTGCTGGCAGAGCTCGGGGACGGCGTGGAGGTGCCCGTGCGAGGAAGCCCGTGCACTTGGCAGTGCTGGTCACGGTACCGCCTGGGGTCATCCTAGCTGGGCCAGGAGGCTTCGGCTCACTCAGTTCAAGAGCAGGTTTTCAATAGAGCTCTCCTCAAGCAGCCGTTCTGCTGGAGGGCTGGTTTCAGCCCCCCGGATGAGACACAAACGTCTTTCTCGGAAGATTTCAGTCAGCTTGAGTCAGTTGGAGTCAGTAATGACTGTTTTGCAGCAGCGTTACTGAACTGCTTTGTGTGTTTGCAGTTTACGTTTCACAAGTCACTGGTGAATATAAGGCTGTATAAACATGTACAGTTTAGTGATTGATACTAGATATAGTCGGTGTCATAGGGTGGCTCATCTCTCACTGTATCCTGACAATGTATGACTAATTTTATACACTTTGTAATCAGTATCGTTAGGAAACGTTTAGGCAACAGTGTGTGTCTGTGCACATGCGCGTGTGCTAGGAGTTTACCATAAATGGTTATAAAGTAATACTGTACTTTTTAGACTAACACTTTCGGACAAAAATAATAGGTTTTATAGTTTTGATGACTTCTATAAAAAGTGCAATGCTTGTTAAACGAGGAACTTGGGCCATTGCATGGACGGATGCGTTCTCCCAAGGCACTTACAAAGCATTCTGTTTTTCTGAGGGCATTTAAGCAAAGGCTGTAGTAGGACTAAGTAGGTTTTATTTATTTTTTAAGGGCAGGGTTGTCCTTTCTGGCTAACTAAGGTTTCTAATAACGTTTTAGCGTCCTTTGACCACCGAGGCACATTTCATAAGGTAGAAGAAAGCATTATATATAAACTTACAACATTTATTCATATTTAATCTCTCACTTGTAATCTGAGTGGAGAGCTGCAGATGCTCACTGGTGTCTGAGCTTCCTGCCCAAGGGAGGCTCTTCCTGGAGCCACATCCCAGCAGCAGCAAGGCTGTTTCTGAGGCCGGGAGCTCCTTGCCCTCTGTAGGCACCAAGCACAGGCAGGGGCTCCAGGATCCTTGGTACTGAGCAGAGCACACCTCGCTCTGCAGGCAGGAGGGCACCTGTTGCGTGTGCGAGGAAATGGAGTTGGCCATTGGTGACCAAGGCTTCCCATAAGATCCTGTGGTCTCGCAGTTTCATATCACTGTCGTCAGGATACATTAACTGTAAGTAATTAGCAATATTCACAAGCTGTGAGTGTCTCCTACCCAGGATTTGTTCAGATGTCAAGCACAATAAGCTGCCTTTCTTCTGTGGTGAAGCATGAGAGGAGCAGCCTGGTGTGGGACAGGGCTATAGTTGTGGAGGTGTTCCAGCAGCCAGCATGGTGGCAGGGTTCTCACTGTGCTCCATCACACCCCAGTTCAGAAACACTCCACAGAAACGTGGTTTCTTTTGTTTGCACAAACACTGCGCGGTCGTGTTGTAAGAGATGCCCTGAGCCAGTAGCTCCACTCTGCCAGGGAGAGGCGTGTATATTTCTTCTTTAATAAAATACTCAACAGCTGAACTTCTCATTGTCCTAACTGTGTGTCTTCCATGCTGCAGTGAAACACAGATTTCCAGCACAGGAGAGATTTGCTTACAGCTTCAGATGGCACGGCCCAGTGAGCGCTGTGCTAGGCAGAGAAAGGCAGTAACGGGATGTGCCAAGCTCAGCCTCCCCTGTGTTTGTAAGTACTGGGGCTGGTGTGCAGCCTCACAGCCCTGCCCCCACTTACCTGTAGAAGAAAGCTGCCCCAGTCACTGGGGAAGACATTGCAAAACAGCTGCAGTGGGGTTCAGTCTCTTCTTCCAGGTAACACGGACATGGTGTGGCTAACATGAATGATGGGACAAGAGGGTTGCACCTCAGGTTGAGTATTAGGGACAATTTCTTCTCAGAAAGAGCAGTGGGGCACTGGCGCAGCTGCCCAGGGAGGTGGTGGGGTCACCATCCCTGGAGGTGTTCTGCAACCATGGAGATGTGGCACTGAGGAACATGAGTGGACGTGGTGGCGTGGGTTGGACAGCTGGACAGGTGATTTTAGTGGTCTTTCCTAACCTTAGTGATTTGAATCCCTGATTCAAATGATTCCCCATGCACACAGCTCCACGCACCTAGTTTCAACCAAGGGCCTTTTTAATGGAGGTTTGTAGGAACACACTGTACCTAGATTAGCTTCCTCACGTACAGATAGTTTTCTGCAATCTGCAGCCTTTTCCAGGTTTTCCCATTCTTTGCCCTCAAACTCCACAACTGCCATGAGGGACTGGGGCATGGCATCCACCTGCAAAACCAGCACAGCCCCTTGAAGCACGCAGACTCTGGGCATACTTCTCCTGTAGAGTGGAACTGGCAGTTATTTGGCAGTTACAGGTGCTGCTTCCAGGTAAGTGCAGCAGCTGCAGTGCTTCAGTACCTTTGGCTTCACAGCACCCAGTCCCATTGCCTCTCAGCTGCCATTCAGCCAGGAGCTCAGCCACTGCTGCAGATCTGTGAGCACCCAGCAAGGCCACGTAGCATGAATGGTTCTGGGAATGGCGGCGGAAGAAAAAGCCCAGTGTCGTCCTGGGAAAACATCCCAGCAGCAGGAGAGCAGGCAGCAGCGTTAATCATCTATCAGTGGTGGAGGGGCCAGGTGCAGCTGGAAGGTCTCATTGTGGAAGACGCTGCTGGCAGCAGAGTCCCCGTGGGAAACACTGAGCAGCCCATGCTTCTCCCCACCGCGGGACAGTTCAGTCAGGAGAGCTAACTGCAAGACAAAATCCAGATAGGTCACCTCCTGCGGCCAGGACAGACTGCCCAGAGGCACTAATGCAAGGTGCAGAGAGAGCTCACGTGGGGTCATAAGCTCCCTGCTGCAATGAGGAAAGCCTTAACGCGTGAAGGAAGAGCTCCATGCTGCATGCAGTGACCCCACAGGACTCTGCAGCACAACAATCCTGAACTCAACGACTTTCCAGGTGTCTTGAGGTTGTTTTTAAATTCCATCATTGAAAAACAATCCCAGAGAGAGCTGAAAGTGCCAACTGGCGCAGCCAGAATGGGCAGAGGCACGAGGAGAAAGGAGAGGACAGAGGGAGGGTCACTGTCTTGGGACAAGCCCACGGGGGACTGCAGAGGGGCTCCTCTGCAAGCATGCCAGCCATGCTGTGTCTGGACAGAAGGCTATTTGCAAATGGAAAAGGAGCCTGAGAAATGCTGCACACCATACACACTTTTCAGGCCCAGCCTCAGGACTGGAGGCAGTCCCCCAGCAGTGGCAGCAGTGCGGATGTGCTGTGATGTGAAGCAGCCAGCTCTGTGCACGCTGCAGTGCCAGCACTGAATGAAATCCCACAGAAAAGCCAAAGCCCATGCTGCCAGCTCTAACATCTTGCCTGGCAGCTTGCATAGTACCCTTCCCCAATTTGAAGCTGACAGGGTAACAGGCAGTACGTACCCGCGAGGTCCCACGGTTGAGTCGGCAGAGTTGGTCAAAGGCCTGGATTTGCTGAGGATCCAATGCAGACTCTGACCCTGTCTGATAAAGGGAACAAGGAGGTTACAAAAACAACCACATCCCACGAGAGCCCAGCCAGCAGTCAGGCAGGCTCACCGCGGTGGCACTGGAGTTGCTACACAGCTTCAGGTGAAGAGTAATGGAAATGCAAATAACAGGTGCCATAGTCTGCAGCCGAAGCATTAGCAATGCCTTTAAAAAGCATTATTTAAATATCCCAGGGAGGGATGACAAAGAATCACAGATTCTCCCAAGTTCGTCCCATTTTACTGCATCACGATGTTTCTATTTTGATTATTCCAAAAGCGTCATCAAGGAACTACAATGGGAGCCAGGGAGAGCAGCCTCCCTCGTGAGCAGCGATTTGGCATCTGTCGTCTTTGGGGATCTATTTTTAAGGGAACGTTCAAGATTCATTCTTAAATATTTTCTCCCAAACAAATTTCCCCAAGGCTATTAACCCAAAGTGCTGCAGTCCTACAAGTGACTGCTTACCGAAGCTGAATTTACCACCCCCTGGCTGTTGAGGCCCCTATAGCCACCAGGCCCTTCTCCCCAACATTTCTCCTCTGGGGCAGATGCTGCAGCACCCAGCTGCTCGACGCTTCCTGTGCTCTGTGGTGTGTTTACAGAGCACGTTGCAAAGCTCAGTGAAGATGATTCCCAGTTACTGTGGACAAACTCTAAAAGCACAACACGCTAGAGGGCACACAGCCACCAGTCAGTGCCAGAACCATCCTTAACTTCTCTGGGTGACACATCCCTCCACCTCCTGCATTGCTGGTGTCTCAACGTCCCTCAATGTCAGCAGAACTCAGATTAGGGAATGCCTTATCCAGAGTGTGCACTCACAGCCCAGAAGACCAACAGTACCCTGGGCTGCATCAACACAGGGAGGGGAGGTGATTGTCCCCCTCTGCTCTGCCCTTGCAAGGCCCCAGCTGCAGTACGGCATCCAGGCTTGGGGTCCCAGCACAGGAGGGATGTGGAGCTGTTGCATTGGGTCCAGAGGAGCATGATGAAGGTGCTCCAAGGGCTGGAGCACCTCTCCTATGAAGAAAGGCTGAGGGAGGCGGGGGTGTTTAGCTTGGAGAAAAGAAGGCTCTAGTGAGACCTCACTGTGGCTTTCCAGCACTTGAAGGGAGCTTATAAGCAGGAGGGAGACTGACATGTTGCAGTCTGATAGTAAGAGGACAAGGGGGAATAACTTTCAAAGAGGAGAAATTCAGGTTAGCTGTGAGGAGGAAATTCTTCTTTACTCACAGGGTGGTGAGGCCCTGGCACTGCTGCCCAGAGAAGTGTGGAGATGCTGGAGGTGCTCAGGGCCAGGCTGGATGGGGCCCTGGGCAGCCTGAGCTGATGAGGGGCAGCCAGCCCACGGCAGGGATTGCGACTGGGTGCTGTAAGGTCCCTTCCAACCCAGCCATTCTGTGATTCTATGATTCCTGAAGCCTGAATAGTTTCGTTACTCTTGAAGCCCTGTACGTTTTGCCTTTGAGATGTTCATCAATCGGAGGAATGCCCCAACTGCTGACACCAAGAGCACGTGCTCAGACTCATTTCCTCCTCCTGCAGGACACTGTTTATATTGCAAATAACAATCACCAGTCAAGGAGCTGAGTGTTCACAGTCCCTGTGCACATGGCATAACTCAAGAGCCTGTGACAGGGAGGGTCGCATACCCACAGCTGACAGGCTGTGCAGCACTTCCAAGGGACGTGTGGGTCATCCTCGCGTGGAAAAAAAAACACTAAAAAAAAATCAACAAAAGAAAGGGGAAAAGCTGCTCTCCACATTTGCTGTAGCCACAGGCATTCAAGGACAAGGAAAATGCAATATAATTGGCCTCTCCTCTCCTGTTATCTCTCTGCCACGCGCATGTAACCATCAATCAGACTGCTCTCCAGGCTGATGAGCTGAAATATTGCAGGCAATTCTTTTTGTTGCCATGGAAACTCCTGCTGTCAGGCCCCTTCCTTTTTTAGCCGTGTCACTAAAGGCATGTTTTCACTCAGGAGCTCTGCGGAGCCTCTCAGGGTCCAGCATCAGCACTCAGGCGTTAGGAGAACGCGCTCAGCTCCTCATCCCACCCTCAGCAAAACTCCAGGCTCCGGCAGCCACTGCTGCGGGATCAGTTGTGGACCCATCAGCACCTTGCAGCCATTTCCAGCCACGTCCTCACTACACCTCTGGGCGGTCTGACCCACAGCCAGTATGAGAAAATCATTAATGAGCTCCAGAAAACCCGAGGAAATCCCCCGGATAACAGAAGTGTGCCACTGCCGACCTCTGCAGACGTACAGCAGAGCGATGTGCCTGGAGCAGGACACAGCCCATCCATCCCTGCAGATGGGATACCCACTCCCCATTCTCTGCTCAGTGCAGCAGCAGCTCACACTCACGCTGGGCACTGCTGGAACATTCCCTTCTGGACCACTGCTGCTGCTTTCAGCCAAAGGAGCCATAATGCTGTTTGGGGTTAATTAGATAAAAAACATGCATCCCAACACCAGCAACCTCACTGGATGCTATGACCCCCACAGATGGTATTTATTTGTCACAGAGCAAAGGAAGCATGGCAGCCCATGGATTAAATCACACACACAGCGTGCCAGGCCAGGCTGGAGCTCATCCCAGGTCTGTGCCTGAGCCCGAGGTTACAGAGGCACCAGTAGGAGACAAATACTTCATTTTCTAGGCATAAGCTGAGGAGGCTGATGAGCAGCATTCCACCACAGCTAAGGACAGAAGGCTGAGAGGCTGCAGTGCTCTCTCAGTGCCAGGACTGCAGGCAGAGAGAAGAAAGGTAAGGAGATGCAGAAGAAAGCATTGTACGAGTTCACTGATCTCTTTCTGCCAGAAGCTTACTGATAATGTAAGCTGCTAAACTTTACCAAGAACCAAGCAGAAACTTCTGCTGCTTGCCCCCACCACAGCTTCTGAGTCTTGTGCAGCATACTGCTGTTTATGATGATATGTTTAGGAACAACCCCGGTGCTAGAAGCCCAGTTGCATCTGCCCAGGC